TTTAAAGAACATTTTTCTGTTTTTATAATATTTTGACCCAAAAGATTTCTTCTAATTTCTTCACTTTTTTTTCAGTTTCTGTTTTTTTCTCACTTTTCTTAATGTTTTGTTTCGTTTTATCAGAAATTCACGACCAATATTGTTTTCAAAACTAGATTTTTCTAGATTATCATCATCAAATCTTCTGTTAAATACCGTAATGTGATCAAAAAATCCCATGATTTATTACAATTTTTTATTCGTTGCTTTTTATTCATTCGCAATTAACATTCCGCACTTGTGTTCGCAATTACTCGAAATAAAACAGTGTTCAAACTCAATTTTCAGAAAATTAATTAAACCTGAAAATACTCATGAAAACTATAGCCATTTCCATGGAAACCATCAAAACAGGTTGCCATAGTTACACCTGTTATAGGTGGAGATGTTTCCATGGAAACTAAAACCTAGAGGTTGCCATAGTGCCCAAATGCGGTGTTGGAGAAAACGTTGTGTGCCACTCGGGGATAAAAAATGCCATAAACGCAATTTTACATTCGGTTTTGTTTATTTGTGTTGAGATAACCCTGAAAATAAAAAGTGTATTTATTTAATTCGCACATTTTCGCAATGTCTGACATAATCCTTGCATTTTTATGCGAAATACGACCAAAAAAAGGAAAATTTTGTGCACGCTCATATTTGGAGTGGGAAAATATAATGTTACAAGGTTAGTAGCGAAAAATAAGTAATAAATTAATAATAAATAAGGATTCCTTCTGGGAGAAGTCACTTATCTTTTGCCTACTTTACTTTATTTTATTGCTGTGATAACTGTCGCAGTTTGCGATTGTTATCTTGCATGAAACAGAACCGATAAAAATGTCGATTTTTTTTTTTGATTCAATAATTCCAGTAATGCGTTTTACATTCCGAATAACGGATTTGTGCAATGAGAAAAGCAAATGTTGTTTGCATATTGCGGAATATTGAATCGTATTATATTGTTTTGTTTTGGCTGTCGAGGGGTCAAGACTTGTGGAATGTCGGATTGAGTGATATTTGGCTTTATTAATTAATAATCGTGACACTTGATCAAGTAAACTGGGACAGTTCTGATAAATGGATGTCTCATTTTGTTTGGGTTTTTCACCAAATGGCCAATTCTTGGGTTTTTTATTATATTGTTATTATATTTATTAAGAAATGAGTAATTTTGCTAAAAAATATAAGCGTGACATCATGTTTTCTAATTGGGCCATTAATAAATACTTGGAATAAATTATGGGTTAAAAAATATTATTTATGGTTTAAGCAATGTTCATTTCAGCGCTACTTCATCATTATTATTATTAATAATATTTTTATATCTGACATCAGCACTCAACAGATTAGTGTTAACAGACAAGAAGTTGATTACTTTTAAAAATTATTGTTAGAAATAAAATAAAAAAATAAAAAAAAAAATTGAATTTTTCAAGAACAATTTTCTGTTTTTTTTTTGATACTTTGGCGTTTTAGATCCCTCAATTTTTTCACTTCTTTCCTAATTTCTGTCATCGAGTTTTTCTTCTCCCGCTTTTTCTATTTTCTCGTGTTGTGACAAACATCGTTTTCTAAACCAGTTTAATCTAGATTACTAATCAAAAAATCTTGATTTTAAATTCTTGTTTTAAAATTAAATCTTTCTCTGTTTTTCTAATTTTATTGTTTTTGTAAAAAAAATTTTATGTCTTTGGTTACCTCTTTCCTGATTTCATGTTGTTTTGAAAAATTTGCTATTAAATTCGTTGTCTTCTGAACTACTTTTTTGAGGATTATTATTATTAAATTTTCTGCTAAATTCTACACTATAATTAGATTTTGGTGTTGTCCCACCGTTTTTCTAATCTTGATATTTATTTTCAAAAAATTACTAATATTTGTCTTTGAAATAAAATAAAAATAAAAATTCAATCATTTAGAATCTTCAAAAAACATCTTTGTTTCTTCTGATATTTTGACCCAAAAAAATTCTTCTAATTTCTTCACTTCTTTCCCAGTTTCTGTCATCGAGTTACTTTTGTGTCGTGACAATTATCGTCTTCTAAATTAGTTTAATCTAGATTATTAATGAAAAAGTCTTAATTTTGAATTCTTTTTCTAAAATTAAATTTTCATTTCTTGTTTCTCTGTTTTTTCTAATTTTTTTTTTTTGAATTGAATTTTTGTTTTGTTTTTTTATGTCTTTGGTTTTTCTTGATTTACTTCTTCTAGACAATGCAATTTTTGATTCATGTTGTTTGCCATCGATTTTTCTTTTTTATTTTCCATGTTTTTTATTGAAAAATTTGACATCAAATTTGTTGTCTTCTGAACTACTTTTATGAGAATTATTATCATTAAATCTTTTGTTAAATTCTACACTGTAATTAAAGATTCGTTATCTAAAATTAGATTTTGGTGTCGTCTCACTGTTTTTCTAATCTTAATTTTTTTTTTCAAAAAATTTGCTAATACTTCTATTTTTGAAATAAAATAAAAATAAAAAGTAAATCATTTAGAATCTTCGAAGAACAACTTTCTGTTTCTTCGACTCACAAAATTCCTCTAATTTCTGCACTTCTTTTTCTGCTTTTTTCACTTTTTCTAATTTTTCGTTTTCTCTTCAGAAATTCACGACCAATATCGTTTTCAAAACTAGATTTTTCTAGATTATTATCATTAAATCTTCTGCTAAATCCTGTAATGTGATCAAAAAATCTTGATCTTGGTTGTTGTTTTTTAAGAATTTTGTCTTTTGTCTCTCGTTACTTTTTCTGCAATTTTTGATTCAATTTTTTTAATCTTGATTTTTTCAACCAATACTATTTCTGTTTTAGAAATTTTGATTTGTTTCTTTTACATTAAATTTAGCTTAAATTTTTTAGTTGTATGTTTTCATTTTTTTTTATTTGGAGGTGGAAAACGTCTTAAATTTCCAGAAGGCTTTCTCTCAAAATTTTTAAGCTAAAAACCTGAAAATTTTTATTGGTTTTCAGGGGTTTTCCAGCAGTTTCTGAAGTTTTGTTTGCTTATTTCTTTAAAAAAACAATATTAAGTAGTGGAATTTTCTTTTTAAATTGACGTTGAACATTTTAGTCCGAAATAATACTGATGAGAGCTTTAATAACTTAACTATTGCCAAAAATTATTAAACAAAGTGTTTTTTATAAAACATGATTACGATTTCAGAGATTTATATAACCAAATTATGGCTTTTTAAATAAAAATTTGCAATAGAAGAACAAACAGAAAATATATACTAAAAACTTTCTGTTTTGATTGCTTTTTAGTGTTTTTTTTTAATATAACAAACGTTTCTGAAACGTCAATAACAATAATTTCAATGAAAAAATGTATAGCTGGTTGCATTTAATTTTGTTTTGTTACTCTTGTAAAGTTATTTGAGTCGCCTTGTATATTTCTAGATATTTGTATTTTTATTAAAATTTAATGCACAAATTTATACAACTCTACAAAAATGCGTAATTTTTAAATCAAATTTTTACTTTATTTGCTAGTTAAACAGATTATTATCTAATTAGATTATTTGATAAGAACTTAAGAGATAAAATATGACACGTTTAGATAAAAACATGTAAATATTTTCAAAGTTGTAATAAACTCTAAAAACATCTTTATTTACAAAAAAACATTTTGACCAATTAGATAATAAAAAAAAACATAGACCGGCGCATCCACCAAATTTTACACATTTTTTAAGCTGTATTTTCGTGTTAAAAACTCAACTTAAATTTTAAAAAAACACGTTTAAAATGAATTCACTAGTTAACTGTCATAATATTCTTATTTGAGTACTAAAAACACCGCAAGCACCAAGTATTTTATATTAACATCGGTAACCAACAATACAACTCTATATTTTTGTGTTAAAAACGTGACTTAAATACTAAAAAGCTTGTCAAAAAATAAATAGACTAGTTTGTTGTTATTGTTTTTATTTATTTACTAAAACAACCCAAATCAATTAATTCTAATGTAGACAACCAACAATACGCGTTGCCGGTATTGCGGGCACCTGTAACCTCACCGGTCGATAAGATCGCTTCCTACCATCATATCCCGCTTACAATATGGCAGTTGAAAGCATCAGTCACGTTTATTATGTTATAGTGCTAAACTCTAACACGCATACAACCTAACGACAATCCAGTCTTATCACAACTACCATCGCCTCGAGTGATCGTAAGTACCAATTCCATCCCAAATCCCATTTAGGGGAATCACGAAAAATCCCATCTACCAGACGGCCGAAGACCCCGCTCACATGTTTCGTCTAAGCCGCGAAAGTGACTCATCCCGGAAAACTCCACGATTTTCCTAATATATTTGTCTTGTTTTCCAGGTATTTGGACCATGGCGTCGTTAGTTAACGGTGAGTTGAACCCCATTTATTCTCAGGCGGCTATTTTTACCATTTGTTTTAACCCATTATCAATTTAATGGGACAATGCGTCACGAAAAAGTTAAAATATTTATTTTCTGATTAGACGCAATTACCGTTTTCTAATCGATCCAGTGCTACCAACTGTTATTACTAATAAAACAATTGAAATAAATTGACAGATGTTACTTCAATTAAGTTACGACATACGTCCAAATTTAACCCATCTGGTTTTCTGGGTGTTTTAATCGATGATATAACATTGCAACAAGTCTATTAAGTCTTAAAAATGTGGCTCTAGGGACATAAATTCCTCCTAGTTTGTAAACCTGTTGTAAGATAACATAAAAGTCCCCCTACTGGGTCATTTCTATTAAAACTGGTTTCATTTGAAATTCTTCCAGGACATCAAGGCGGCTTGTCTTTGTTCCATGAGTTGTATACTGAGTTTTTTCTATCACTAGAGAAAAAAAAAACTCAGGTAGACGTGACCCGGCCTTAAAAAATTTCCCCCCAAATGCGTAATTCTTGCTTCCGCTCGAATCAGTTTGTTTATTTACCTGTTCACTTGTTTTCGAATCGTGACCTTGTAAATTCGAAGGACGATCGATGTATTACGCCGTTGACTATTTCAAGGTCACTTTTCTTGTGCCAGTCACAAATATCGATTTCGGAGACAAAGAGGAAACGTTTGTGCACCTGAGGGTGCATCTCAAGGTCACTAATTAAGGGGGAAAAATACAAAATATGCACTTTTATAGTTTCCTAGTTTTCTATGACTGCTTATTAGTGTTGCTAATATTTTCTCAAGGTGAGTAATTTGGTGATAAGTGAAGTTTAAACAATTTTTTATTGTTGTTTAAGTACGACTCTTTATTCAATTACGTTAAATTGGTATTAAATTTCTTCTAGAACGTTGTTGTTCGTATATTAACACCAATTCACAAAATTTCAAGTGTGCTGTGAAGGCCAAGTTTTGTACAACATCTAGTCGTCTATGGAATTATCATTGAAATAAAAAATGCCGCTTTAAAAAATATTGAATCTAATTAACCTCAAACTTCGATTGACAACTGTCACTGTTGACAGTTGACAAAAAAATTCCATAGACGACTAGACGAAAATCATTTAGACACAGATCACTTGATTTGCGACCTTCTCACTTCCATTTAATGCAAAACAAATGTGGATTAATTAGTTCAGGTCATTGCATAGAAGCCTTGACTGTGGTTTTAAAAAAATCGGTTGAAGAAAAAAAAAAGTTTTTCATTTTTTATCACTTGAATTATCGAAAAAATAACCTTCATAGGTCGACAACACCACGTGGAGATATTTTAATCATTTTCAATTGGTGTTTTTTTAATTGACTTTCACTTGTTTCATTTAAATTGTAAATTAATTTTTTTAATCTGGTTGGCTTGACAGTCATAGCCACTCAGATTTGTATTATCGATTATTAATCAAGTGGCCCTTGAAGATTACCCAAAAAAACAATTGCATTGTTTGCCTATCTACGATAGCCTATTTTCGTATTCGCAAAAAGGAAAATTGCACATTTAGTATACAAAATTGTTTTGTAATAGAAAATTGTTACTTAGAAACCCTTTTTTCGTCCTAAACGAGTCGACAACTATTTAGTTGCTATAAAAACGCGCCGAATTTTATATGTATCTAAGGTGATAGAGTTATAAAAATAAAAGTTGGCATAGTAACAAACAATAAAAAGCACTCCAGTGGCGTGTAATATTTTTTCGTTAAAATTTTCCACTTGTTTTATTTAAAAATAGGTGAGTTATTTTTTTTAATACATTTTTTTTTAATTGTTCAATTTTGTCTTGCGTGAGGTTGAAGTGGTTCTTATTTCTGAGACATTCTGTATAGTTTTTTATTTAATGGCCCAAAAAAACGGAACAATAAATTTTAAAGCAAAAAAATTGCTATTTTTTTTAGTTTCACGTCTATTGAGACTAAACATTTTAGGTCTCGTATCTGTATTTTTCTATTAAACTAATTAACTTAAGTCCATTTTTTCCATTTTTTTTCCAAAAAAAAAAAAAACTAAAGTCCATTTCGCGAAGCTTTGATTTAAGGGCTGTTAAAAAATCAACCAAAAATTAACTTTTTCTCAAATGAAATTATTCGTTCCTCTGATTTTTTTTTGTTTTTTGTAATTTTTTATTTTTTATACCTTTTTTTTAGTGCACTATGCATTCAGGGTGAATAAAAATATGGAATTAAGCGTTTTTTGCTTAAAATATCTTTTATAATAATAATAATAATAATAATAATAATAATAGGCCTTTATTAGAAAAAAAATTCTATAGTAGATGTTAAACTATTTCTTTATTAACTTTTTTGAGTAGATTAAGTAGCACTTTAACAGCAAGGGTAGATAAAATGTTTTCATTTTTTTTAGTAACCATAGTAACGGAGCAACACAATTGCCATTTTGTGTAAAAAATTGTAATTTTCTTTGAAATTTTTTTTTTATCTTAAACTTGAAGTCCTGCTATAGAAAAAAAATGTTGTATTATACACAACGATAAAAATTGTTTATCTACTCGTGAATTTAACATTTTCACTCGTAGATAAACAATCTCTTTATCGTGTAGTATAATAAAAAACTATTTATACATTATAAAGTACAAACTATGGAAATATGATTGTTTTTTAAGAATACATTTTACAATTTTTTAGTTTTTGAGTTCTGCATTTTTTTAAACAGCAATTTTCCAGTTTTAAATTCAAAAATAGATGAGATATTTTTTGTAAATTGAACTAAAGTGCATTTTGCGAAGCTTTTATTGGTTTAACGACTGTTACAAAAATTAATCAAAAATTAACATTTATTTTATTTACTGGTAGGGGTAAAAAGTAATTAATTGCGCGAAAATAAGCGTTGTTAGTGACTCACAAAGCCTGTAAAATTTTATGAAAATAACTCAAGCGGTTTTGAGGGAATTAATAGATTTTAATTTTTATTATGAAATTTTATCATCCTGTATATCCGTAACGAAGCTTTATAGGACTATTGTTTATTTGACAAATTAGCGTTATTTTTCGATGTAGAATATGTGGTTGCAATTTTTCGCAATATTAAGAAAACACCCTGTATAAATTTTTTATACGCGTTTTAAATTTCTCCAGTGTGGTAATATAATTAAAATTCTTAATTTGTGTTTTTTTTTTATAAAACTAGCAGTTATATGCCCTAATGGATTTGGATTTTTTTTTATTACTGTGCATACAGGGTGAATAAAAATATGGAACTAAGCGTTTTTTGCTTAAAATATCCACTTTCTGAAAAAATATTCAGTACATTATGAAGTATGTACTATAAAAAAAGCAATTTTTCACTTTTTATTTATTCAAAGATATATGAGTTTTTTTGTAATACATTTGTTGTGAATTGAGTTTTTTTGTAATACATTTGTTGTGAATTAAACTAATTAGGGTGCATTTTGCGAAGCTTTTATTGGTTTAAGAGCTGTTTAAAAAAATAACCAAAAATTAACATTTGTTTTCTCATATGTGGTTTTCGTAATATTAAGAAAACACGCTGTATAATTTTTTATACGTTTCTTTGATTTTTCCAGAGGGTAATAAAGTTAAAATTTATTTGTTTTTTATATAAAACTAACAATTATATTCCCAAATGGATTTGGATTATTTTTTTTTATTACTGTGTACTATGCATACTGGGTGAATAAAAATGTGGAACTAAGCGTTTTTTGCTTAAACTATCAACTTTGTAAAAAAAATTTTTAGTGCTTTATAAAATAGTATAGAAATATGATCGTTCTTCAAGGATCAAATTTTTTGAAACATTTTTTTTTTAGTTTTTGAGGTCTACAAAATTTTATTAAATAACATTTTTTTGTCAATGACTATAATTTAAAAATTACACTTATCTAATTAAAATTGTTTTTGAACCAATATTTCAACGAACGAAATAAAACAATTTTTTTTTAAAGTTCATTCATTTTTTAAATGGAAAAAACTACATAAATACTGTTGTTTCAACAAGATTGAGGACAATTTGTGTTGTTTTACTTTTCCTCGAGAAGATTTATTGTTAGAAACATCGTCCTAGACTGTCCATTTCTAGTGCTTCGTCGGGTCATCGGACCCGATCGATCGTGCACTCTCGACCTTGACGTTTCCTCAATTTTGAAGAAAAATCATATTTTCAGGTCATTCCACTAAGCCGGGGGAAATGCGAAAAAACCACCCCGAGGACGAGTCCGAATTCGAACTGGAGTTCACCGACGACATCCACAAGACGCATATGTTGGCCTCCCTCAACACCATGCGAAAAAATCGTCACTTTTGTGACGTCATTCTTCACGTATGTGCACTGACTGTAGAACATCACATTTTACGCCTTTTCGGTCAATCGTGTTGTCGTCATTTTCTCCTTTGACTCAAATTTAATCGCACGATTGACCGGAATATAAGTAAATGTTGGTATTGTTTACGGTCAGTTACACTACTGGGTGCTCTCCTCTCGTCATAATTGAATTTTATTGAACCAGTAGTGAGTAGCTTTTAAGTCTTTTTTCATACTAGGAGTAGTCAAAGCTTTTCCGTTAGTTCGTTATCAGATTTTCTTGCAGAAACGATCGTGTTTTGTAGGTAAAAATTTTACTAGAATCGTTTTTTATTATTGTCGTTCTTTTGCACGAAGAACGTTTTAATGTTTTCTGTTTTTACAGAACAGTAGAGAATGGGTGACGGTAATTCCATTTTATTTCTTTTGATTTTTTTTTTTTTTTCAAAACTTAAATTTTTTAAATAGAAAAACTCAAGTACGGTTCTGGTGTTATAATATTGGGGTTTTTTCGTTCGTATAGGTTGGCAATACCGAAGTTCATGCGCATAGAGCCGTTCTGGCGAGCGCTTCACCCTATCTCGCCGAGCTTTTTGCCAACGATCAAGCACAAAATCCCCTAGAAAATGTCGTCACGTTTAAATTAAACGGCGGTTTTAATAAGGACGCCTTGAGGATCTTAGTCGACTATGCCTACACCGGCCAACTCGACGTCAAGTATAATCAGGTAAGGTTGGCAATATTGTAAAAAAACTAAGTTGGTAACATTGAATCGTTGTGAGATAATTGTGACAATCTATTGGGTTTTATTATTTTTGTCTTTTTCGAGGGTTTTAATACGTTTTGCAGTCAAAAATCACAAAATTAGGCCGAAAGCGATGCTCTTTGATGTTATTTTCTTTGTTTTAGTCGATTTAACGGGCAAAATTTAGTCAAAAATAAGCCAAAAAAACACTAAATTTAGTCGAAAATAGTGTTTTCTGTTTTTTTTAACTTTTTTTGCGAGGTTTTGAAAAATCACCAAGTTAAGTCTACAATTATATAATTTTTGCCTTTTTTTTTAGCGCTTTAACACGTTTTTCATTAAAAAATCACTAAATTAGGCCAAAAACGATGCTCTTTCATGTTATTTTCTTTGTTTTAGTCGATTTAACGTGTTTCTGAGCAAAATTTAGTCAAAAATAAGACAACAAACACTAAATTTATTCGAAAATAGTGTTTTCTGTTTTTTTTTTTAAACTTTTTTGTGAGATTTTGAAAAATCACCAAGTTAAGTCGAAATTATATTATTTTATTCTTTTTCTAGCGCTTTAACATGTTTTTCATCCAAAAATCACAATATTAGACCAAAAGCGGTGTTATTTTTGGCTTTTTTTAATGTTTAAGTATGCTTTTGAGCTGAAGACGCCGTTTTTAGCTGGTAAAAGTCAAAACTGCTGAAATCCTCTTCAGGTCAAGTTAAAATTAAGTTGGCAACACTGAATGTTTGGTGACAAATGAGGTTGTTTCAAGTGACGGATTTGCCAGCGGTCGTCTGTCGGAAATGAATGACAATTGAGTATAAAATTGTGACAATTAAATTCGAGTCAGTGTTGCCAAATTTAGATTTTCGTTTTTGACCCACTTCAATGTTGCCAACTTAATTTCAATAAATAAGTTATTTTTATTTTTGCTCAAATTCTCTTCAGATCAAGACTGCAATAAAATTAAGTTGACAACATTGAATATTTACAAAAAAATCAATTGGCAACACTGAATTATTGGTGATAAACAAGGTTATTTCAAGTGACGACTTTGCCAGCAGCCGTCCGTCTGAAATTGAATATAAAATTGTGACAATTAAATTTGAGTCAGTGTTGCCAAATTTAGATTTTCGTTTTTTTACCTACTTGATGCAGTAATTTCAATGTTGCCAACTTGATGTCAATTTTTTTTGTAAAAAGCTGAAATTCCTTCAGGTTAAGGCCGTTTTTCTGGCCGCCAACCACCTGAAAATGGAGCGTGTGACCCGGATATGCGCCCAACACTTAATAAAACATCTCTCTGTGGAAAATTGCATTGAAATCCGTTCTCTACCGGGAATTGCTCGCAACAAGGAATTTATCCAACAAGTCGACGCATTCATCGCTAAAGAAGTGAGTTTTTTCCCTCCCTCAAATCGATAAATTCCTCAAATTCCACTTCTAGTTTGACAAAATCTGCAAAAATAACGACGTCCTCAATTTACATTGCGCCAAAATCGAGGTCCTCAACCAATCACGCGAAGAAATGTCTTTGGTGAATCAAAATTCACTCTGTCGCTTAGTTTTAGAATGGATCAAAAGACAAGTCAACGAAGAGTCATTCAGCGTTGAAATGTTATCAAATAAGACTTTCATGTTGTATTTAGCCATCGATAATTCCCTACAGGATTGCTCAAGTCTACCAACTGGTGACGTAAGCGACACAGAAATAGTCCAAGATTATAAAAAAATGTCCCTGAAAAATAACAACACAAATGCGAAAACGAAACGCAAATGTTTGGGTCAACCGTCAAAACCGCGAGTTTTAATCTACAATCGCGAAATCGGCGAAGAAATTGAATTCGAAGGCGAACCCGATTGGAATTTAATCGCTTCGGAGAAAGTCGGGGAGCATAGTTTTCTAGCGTTGGTAACCCTAGGTGGCAGGTTGTCAACACTGTCAATCCAGTTGAGGTATAGTTACTTTAATTTTTGTTATATAGGATGTTCCAAAAGTCTGGAAACGATGTTATTCTGCCGAAACTATCAAATTTTTTGGCAAATAAATTTATAGGTGAGCAATGGCTATCAAAATGCTATTCAAAAAAAATTTTGAATATTAATTATTTGTTTATACTTACAGATAAACATAGTAACTTTTTTATTTTTAAATGGAAACCTACGACAATTTTTTTTTAGACAACGAGTTTGTTACAAGAATTGTTACTGTGCATTTTTTTTTTGTAAACCTTACACTTTTTTGTTAAAAAATTAATTGTTTAAACTTTTGAGATTATGATACTAAT